TAAATTCCTGGCTTTTTTGATAGTACATCCCTGTTTAACGCAATAAAATTTCACTGAATACAATCCTGACTTTGAATACCAAAAGTGTGGGATTTACGTCATTCAAGGTCCCTGACAAACGACATCAGTGACACCCGGGAACATCGAGACTGTACGGCGGGCTGTGACACACCACCCGAAGCGATCTGCACGAAAACATGCCCAGGCCCTAAATATTCATCGGTCAAGTGTGCAAAGGATTTTAAAGGACGACTTACACTTTCATCCGTATAAAATTCAACTTTTGCAGTTTCTAGAGCCCGGAGACTACGAATTAAGAAAAAAATATTGTGAGACCATGATGAATATGTTTTGGGATGAAGGTGGATTGGACAAAATTTTATTCAGTGATGAGGCTCACTTTCACTTAGAAGGATATGTCTACAAGCAAAATTGTCGTTTCTGGGCCCCAGCTAACCCAAAAGAAAAGCATGAGAAACAACTGCATTCTAAAAAGGCGACTGTTTGGTGTGCCATATCGTCTTCTGGAATAATCGGGCCCTACTTTTATGAAGATGCCTGTGGCCGCTCTGTTACTGTGAATAGCCAGCGGTACTGTGAAATGATTCGCACTTTTTTTATTCGGCTCTTCAGAACTTTCCTGGATATGACCCAAATTCCACCTGGTTTCAACAGGAAGGTGCCACGGCACACACAGCAGCAGCATCAATGACCAGTCTACGTGAATTGTTTCCAGGTGTGCTTGTTTCCAGATTTGGTGATATCCCCTTCCCCCCAAGATCACCGGACCTAAGGCCCCTGGATTTTTTTTATGAGGATATTTACAGAGTATTGTTTACACCAATCCCCCGGCCAATACAACCAGTTAAAGAATAACATTCGGGAAGCCATTACCAATATTCCTGTTGAAATGTGTCGACGAGTTTTCCAAAATTTGAGGACCAGATTGGAGAAGTGCTGGACGCAAGATGGTCGGCATTTGGATAACGTTGTGTTTAAAAAGTAAAATCCGCATATATACAGTTTCTTATTTTTAAAATAAAATTTATTGAAGTTTAAATAATTTTGATATTAATTTTTAAAAACTGAATTTTACTCTGAGTCACCTTGTATAACTTATATTGATGGCAAAAAAATATTGTGGCAATACATAAGAGAACTTTATGAAATAGATAAAAAATTTTCTGTGAAAGCAGAATTGATAGATGCCCGCATTTACCCCACAAATTTTCAAAAGATGAAAGTTAAACTAGTCACACAAGTATTTAGTTTTTCAGTTCATGTAGTGATGAGCTTTTATATAAGATTTGGGTCCCTTCCCGCAGAAGCTGCTGAAACTGCGCAGTTTGTTCACACAATTAACCAGCTGTTTGATATTTTAAATTCCTCTCAAAGTTTTTCCCCAAAAAAATATAATGCTGCTTTTAAAGGTCAACCCATTCAGTTGGAATTTTTAACAGAATGCTTGACTCTTTTTGACAAACTTAAAGTTCGTGACAAAAATAATGTATACATCACAAAAACAATTAAGTTTACCAATAGTCTAAAAATTTCCATAAACAGTGTCATAAATTTATTTAACTATCTTCGTGACACTGCAGGGTTTGATTATTTACTGACGAAAAGACTAAACCAAGATTGTCTGGAGAATCATTTTGGCAAAATTAGGAGTAAAAACAGTAATTGTATTAATCGGATGGCCATACAGTTTCACAGGATCTTTAGAAAGTTGCAGTGCATTAACCTGCTTAACTCGGGTGCAGAAAACTGCGAGGGAGATTCGGATCAACTGCTTTTAAGGCTTCCTGACTAAAGACGATTCTGATACTAAGGATGAAACCCCCCATATTAAAGATGCAAACATTAAAATAATCAATAGCATGAATTATTGTAAGGACGAGTTATTGCAAAAAAAATTTATTAGGTATGTGTGTGGCTACCTTTTGAACAAAGTCCTGCGGATACACTCCTGTGATGCTTGCACCAATTATAGCAAAGATTATAATGAATTGGATTATTCTTCTTTTTATTGTTTTTTGAAGGCATATAATAATGAAAATGAAGGTACCTTATTTGGACAATTGCAAATGCCAAACGATAACTTTGTTGAGCTCATTTGTAACACTGAAAAGATATTTCAAGATAATTTTGAACAATTATCCACAAAAAAATAACATTTGTAGCACACTTTTTGAATTAATTAAAAGACTACCTTTTAGTCATCCGTGTCATTCTTTTCCGAAAGAATTTGTACTTTGGTTATATTTAAGGGTTAGAGTTTATTATACGTTAAAAACTATAAACCAAAATTTTAAGAATATTCAAAAAAACAAACATATATATTTTTAATGCTATATTATGTTATTATATTTTTTTGTATATTGTAGGTATGTTTTATAATATGTATAACTATAGGTATTTTTGTTTTGTAGGTGTTGGTTGTTCATCATTTACATTAGGCAATACAACTTATTAAAAATAACGCAATTTTATTTCACAACCATTTTCACCCTTTATTTTGGTACTATACTCCGCGATAGAAATTAATAGATAGTGACTCATCACTAGCTTATGGACTAGTAAGGGGGATGAAGCGTGCCGGGAACGAAAATCCGTTGGCGTGTGCGTAAAAGGGAACAAGATATAGAAAATATTGGAAAAAGATAATAAAACATAACATCTAATATTTTTTACGGTTTGCTAGAACCGGCACTATGATTCATTTTAATTATTACAGCATTTTAAAACGCCCCAGTTGTGTTTTTTTAATTTTTAAATTTATTATAGCCATGGAATTAGACCCCTCGTCTACGCTTCTGCTATGACGTTTCTCAGGGCGGGTAAATCAAGTCCGTTTACACCCAACTAAAAAATTTTTTCCCTATTCTCTATCAAGTGCAAAAGACAGACATAGAATATAGATCGACGTTCAGTATAACTCAGTCTATAGACGATTATAGATTCTATCGATGTGCGTAGCGAGCGGCACAAAGATAAAAAATCATATTATATTTTATACGCGTTATGGTAATAGTGTTTTTATATTATGTCTGACTCACGCTCTATAATTTCGACCGCGGAGTATGGATGGATACTGTTTTATGACATTCCTTTATTGCGATAATATATTGATTTAATTAAAATCACTGGTTCTATAAATACCTCAAACAGCGCCCTTTTAAGACCTCTTTGATCAGTTTGCCCCTGCTGATAATCATCTTATTTTTGTTTCCATCCTCTTAGGATTACGTCAGCAAACAGCAGCTTACAAGGAATTTTAATTACTCTTCAAGTTTTCCTTTAATAATCCGTATTAACTCCAGTACAAAACCTATTACCTATCTAAAATACCCATTTTCTACTTTTAATGTCATACCACGTAATATTGTAATTCAAATTTCATATTATTAAAATTCCCTACTATGGTACTGTCAGGTAGAAACTAAATATTTTATTTCAATAATAAAAATCCTTTTAATCCAGCCCTGACTATTCCGCTAATCTGAGAGAGTTAGCACGATTCCGTCTCGCTTGGTTCTCGACCGCCACATCAAAGGCGCCGACACGGACTCTTCGAGCTGTATATCCACTGCGCTGATACCAAAGTTTTTATTGCGTTAACGCAATTGAGTTACACCGACACCGCACGGCGCACTCACACTTGAGTCAAACACGGACTCATAAGAATTTGAGAAGATAAGAACACAGTATAATATGTACAGGGTCGGAAAGTCCCCATGGTTCATCGGCCGTACGTGAGAGCGATAAAATTAAGAAGTGGATCTTATTTGTGGAAGGGCGAAATGTGCGGTGACTATTAGACGCCTTCATTATAGCCATCTTTCTCTATCGCATGGATTTCTATGACTTTCTTTATCGCTCTCACGTAACGGCCGATGAACCATGGGGACTTTCCGACCCTGTATATCCGATCTACCAAAATAATGTTAAAACGTTTTATTTTAATCTTTGAAAATAATATTAGAGGACGAAAAATAGCGTGACGTATGAAATAACATGACTGTTATTATGATAAAATGNTAATAGTCACCGCCCATTTCGCCCTTTCACAAATAAGAAGTGGATCTTATTTGTGGAAGGGCGAAATGTGCGGTGACTATTAGACGCCTTCATTATAGCCATCTTTCTCTATCGCACGGATTTCTATGACTTTCTTTATCGCTCTCACGTAGCGGCCGATGAACCATGGGGACTTTCCGACCCTGTATATCCGATCTACCAAAATAATGTTAAAACGTTTTATTTTGACCTTTGAAAATAATATTATAGGACGAAAAATAGTGTGACGTATGAAATAACATGACTGTTATTATGATAAAATGGAATATACAGGGTGTTCCTAAATATGATGTACATAAGCAGGAAGGGGGTAATTCTTTGGCTTATTTCATGACTTACAGGATGTTGAAATTTTAAGATTTTTTTTTGTTTTTTCTCTATAGCTCCCACAGTTTTTGAGGTATTTAGCTGAAATTTGGAATATAGGTTACGCTGTAGGGCTTACATCATTGGACATGCCAAATGGTCGTGATAACCCAGAAAAAATATCACAAAGTGATATTTTTTCGGGGTTCATGCCCCCTTTTTCTTCCCCTGAATTTTTGTGCGGTGCGCTGCTGGTAGATTCTAAAACCAAAATTTAATTTTATGTTTAGTTGAGAAACTTGCCTATTATGATTTTTTCGTATCTGCGACCGTTATCGAGAAAAAAAAATAAAAAACGATTTTATGTAATTCGTTAAATGAAATTTAAATTCTTAGAATGGTCCTGAAGGCTCTGGTTTTATTTAGATAATTTCTTGTTTCTATTCATTTTGACAAAGAAGTATTTTGTTTTTAAATATTTTAAAATACTTTCATACTAGTATTTTATTGTGATTGGTATTTTAAATACATTTTTAAAGTATTTTGCCTAACCCTACTTGAATGTAGGAAAATGTACCTCACACACGCTACAAGAGCAATTAAATAAAAACATATTTTCCCCGATTATATTTTATTATATGCAGGTACTATTGTAACATAAAGGGAGTAAACATGGATAAAAATAAATAAATCAATTTAGAAATACAGTTATACAAAAATAGACCCTATTACAATACAAAATGTGACAAGGTGCTCACTTTCCCAAGATAATTTTTCTTGAAGCGCCGAAATTCTGGCCAGCTTGTGTTGCGCCTCTATTCTGACCTGCTTGGAGACCGATTATGGCTTCTCCAGCCCTCAGTTGTTGTTCGGAGAATTCTCTCTTGTTTTCTTCAGCTGGACGGGGGCCTAGGAAGGGACCTCTCCATTCAGGGTGTCTGTAGGCGGTACGGCCAATAGCGAAGATTGTGTTGGTGACCAAAGCGATGTTCTTCTTATCCCAAAGATCGGTAGTTTGGAAGAGGTCTACGTCTGGGACTCCGTAGCGTGTGCAGGCACTTTGGAATCTGAAATGAGAAAGTACAATTTATTCTCTGGCATAAAAGTTGCAGTTTGAAAGATTAAAACTTATTAGTTAGGCAACATAATATTGACTTTAACGCATTACTGATTGCAGTAAATAATGTATGTCGTTCTGTGACGATCATTTCGCATATCTTTTTGAGTTTCTGCTACCCGCATTAAAAAGTTGCTGAATGCACTAGTTGATGATACTCAAACCTTTGTTATGATAATTAACGCCTTGATAGACCTATAAATTTGGATTAAGTTGATTAAAATTTGGAAATATCCGAGCAATTCGGCATTGGAATAATCCAAATTAATTAGTAATTAATAATTATCAAGACCGTCATTTAATTATATAAAATTTCATGCAGTGTCGTGCATGTAAAAGGTTATAATGTGCGCGATGTCCATAATTTTTAATAAATTGTTTATTTTTTTGTTTCATTCAGTGATTTTCACAAGAGAAAATAGATAGGTATTGTAAAATAAAATTATTTAGTTGATTATTTTTATCAGACCTAAGACTACACATAAAAGAAAACGTTAAATAGTTTTACTTATTTTTCAATAAAAAAATTATAATTATGGATAAATCTAAAACTATGTTGCCTATCTATATTTAGAAAAAATACCTTTTTCTCTAGCTGCAACTCCACTTATGAGTAATAAATCAATTATTCAGTATTGCTTAAGTTTAAATGGAAGCAATATAAGTTTTTTCCATTTTAATTTCCCTCTAGAGTAACCAAACAAATAAAAGGAGAACTTGTCATTGTTGCCAAGTTTCTAAGAGTAATAATTAATCAATAAAGGGTATATTGATATACTGAACCTCACAAAATAACGTCAGCCACAATTAACGTGACGGACTTGACAAGATTGTTTTGTGATTGTTCATAGATTATAAACTTTTAAACACAAAACCTATATTTTTTTGAATGTATCATTAACAAACAATTATAAAAATACATTGCATTTGCGAAAAAAGTCCATTGTAGTCCTTTACTCTGACGGTAAACATAAATGAAATTAAGATTCTTGTTATTTTCTTGTAACTAATAATCAATTTCAATAGCTTTATCTGGAATTGATTTTCTAAACCTCAATACTTTTGGATTTCCCTTAACTACGCTCATGGTAAAAAACTCTCACAAGTCTCTTCGTTCACCCTTCAAGCATTATGTTCTCCTATTATTACAATTTCAACTGGATGATTTATGTAGAGCAAGTAAAAACTTAATAGAGATGATAATAATTTGGATTCAGTTCATTTTGTGTTTAATTCAACCTGTAGCCCCAATTAATAAATTAGACAACATAAACAGACAGTTTGTTTATCTTTTGCTTTAAAATTAGCAAGGACAATACTAATACTTCCTCGTGATAACAGGACAACATGAGATTTTCAGGATCTGTCGGTTGCTTATAAAATTTATAATGCGGAAAAAGCGGATCCCTGAAGAAATTTTACACACTTTCAAAATGCAGTTGGTTGCTTCCTTTGATTTTCTAAGTAACGTGATTATCGAAGCAAGTTATATAATGAAGTAAAAATATTTGTTTGACCAATGTTTTAACTTTTTAATAACATATGTCTATAAAAAATACTTTTTATTTCTTTGAACAGTATTCCACTGCTAATGTTACTTTAATTGTTCCTATACCTCTAGAACATTCGTTAAAATTGTTTAGTTGAAATTGAAAACCTTAGTGAAAAATTAGTTCCAATCCTGGGCGGATTAGCATTATTCGGAAGATTTAAATTAGCTAGTTTCACGATGCGAAAAGTGATTGGAACCAACTAGTGACTAGAGTTTGTAAGAATAACAAAATTTGACGTACTGGTTAAGATTGTCCATCTTTTTATAATCTCCGCCAGAAGTATTAATTCTGGGGATAATTCCTGGAGCCAGACGGTTCATGAGTTGACAGAGAAGGATTCCGTCCCTGAGAACATCTTCGTAGGGTACTCCTGGTGGGAATCTTTGGCCAGTCACTGTTTCGATCCATGCCTGAGCTTCTTGTTCTTGGACAGGATCACGTTTTCCGGCAACCTAAAAAAAAGGATACACAGGAATAAAATAAAAATGTCATGTCAAACGCAATATTAGGTGTTTCAGAAACATACAATTCATTCAATTTCAATCGATTTCCAATAATTCAATTAAAAAATATGTGTTTTATGGTTCGCACAGTAGCCTCGGTTATTTGACTTTTTCGACTATGTTTCGAAATGAGATTATGTAACAGAAGCTCATTATACAGGGTCGCTGATATGTATGGAAACGGTCAATTATCTCCTAAAGTAAGATAGCTATCGAAAAAAACATAAAACGTTTTAGGTTTTTTTAAAATTTGTTACAATAGAGAAAACTAAATATATAAGATCAGTCAAAAAATCATGACGAAACAAAGTTGCTTTTTCTTTAATGGAACACTGTATATTATCCGTTATTTCAATTCTTCTCCATATTCTAAACAAAATTCATATAGCACATAATGTACCTAAATTAACCGTTTTCGAGAACTTTGAAAGTAACTTTTTACTATTCCCAAATTTATAAAAGAAAAAAGGCCCCAAATTATGGATATTTATTTTGAAAATAACACAAGGTGGAGGATATGGATATGATTTAATTTTATTATTAGTTTTTTACAGAAAATAAAAAAACAATGGTTCAGGGTTGATAAAAATGCAAGAAACGAAAAAGTGTATTTCTTAATGAATGTACTGGATATTTTTAAATTTTAATAAACAACAAATATTTTCTTTAGAATTCTATTTTTAGAAGGTGCTCAGAGTGTTCACCATTTACCTCCTGACAGTAAGGAATTCGCTGAACAAAATTTTGTAGTGAATCTAAAAGGGTGTTGGGAAGAATAGTGGAAATTTCATGTTGTTCTATAAATTTAAAATATAAATTCTATAATTCTTTTAGTTGGTCACTCGGGGTTTGAAACTTTTTAAATATTTCTAATATTGGCCGAATATTTGAGGTCATGACAAAGAAACTATTTTTTTTAGCACTTATGACCAAAGTACATAAGGTCGAAAATCTGGTAAAAATATTGAGAAATTTTTCATGACAATATGCACTATGGGATTGCCTATCATTGGCGTATGTGACATCACTACTAAAAAGGTCTATTGAAATATGAAATAATATACAGGGTGTTCCATTAAAGAAAAAGCAACTTTGTTTCGTCATGATTTTTTAACTGATCCTGTATACTTAATTTTTCTTTATTGTAATAGATTTAAAAAACCCTAAAAGGTTTATGTTTTATAATTCTTCGATAGATATTGTAGCGTATCGTAGCTAGGAGATAATCGACCATTTGCATACATATCAGTGACCTATATATGTGAATCACTTAAGAACAGAATGAATGAGGGAAGAAATGTACCGCTTGGAATAATAAATAAAAATTTGTTGTTGTCTACAGTTATTTATTTGTGTTATGTTTTAATGCTTTTTAATTTAACTGGGTATTAAAAATATGAATCAAATAAAAAAAAACAAAATTTGGTTTTCTGTACTCCGCCAAAGAAGAATAAAAATATGGACAATAAATTTTCAGACCGAACAATACCGAACATATTCTAGAAATTTACAGTGGCAAAAAAATCTTGCTTAAAACTATGGTTCAGTTTTTTGAAAATGTCAACTGACGTATTTATTGTTGTATATTGTATATAGTATATTAATTAGTTCTCAAAACTTTGTTAAATTGAGAATGTCATCAACTAACTGCAGAATTGAAAAATTGATTTTCATCATTTTCAAAATACTTGTTTTCCATAATTAAAAAGTTATTTACATATGAAAAATATGCTGGAGATTATGTTAGTGCTAATCCTTAACATATAACTACACTACTGTGCAACTGCGATTAGTCAACAGAGCATGTAGAGTAGAACAGCAGCAACCAATACTGTGCGTAGATAGTGGTGAGGTGTGAATGTCCATTATATTAGTTTTTTATCTGATTCACATTCGGAAAGTCTCATAATTTAATTGCCCAATTAGTTAACTAAGTCTTAATCGGAACTGAAAGTATTGGTGCTATGTATTTATTTTAGAAAAATACAAATGTCCTCCGAATGATTTGATGAGCTGTTTTTCTTGAGAATCAATAACAGGGGTATAGATGCAAAACTCACATTATCCATAATTTTTCGAAATAGAGTTAGTGGCGCTATCTTGTTCATCGTGTTGAACTACACCATTTTAAAATTTAGAAGTGGTACAAACTCACATTTTCGTATTTATTTTTAAATTGTGAAATCTGTGAATTGTTTCAAGTCACATTCTCCTACGATCTGAAGTTGTCAAAACTCACATTATCCATATATCCACCAATGAAAAAGCTTAAAGCGATAAACAAATATGGCCGACTGCCTAAGGAGAATGTGAGTTTTGCTTCTCGTATTGTTTTGCTTTCCTAGATGGTTGGTTCCGTGTTTTCTATGAGTTTCTGATTATAAGTAAGATAAGTTTAGTTCTGAAATTTCATATTTAAATATCGGATATTAGACCTTTTTACTCAACATTTTTTGTATACTTTGCAATTTTAGTCATTATAAAAATATTTCACTTTCACTGATAATAAAACCGTATTCTAAGTGTTTTGTGCAGCTTTTTATTTTAACATGAACTACCATATTACATAAAAATTTTATTGATATTGAATTTGTTTCAAAGTTCCTTTAACTTCATGAATTTTAGTGTAAAAAATAATATTATGTAGAATAATTTGGAGCAAAACTACCATTATCCAAGAAGTTGTATCAAAACTCTCATTATCCAAACTTTAATTCACTTTCTTGGAGTCAAATATTGTTGTGCTGGTATTTCACCAATCAAGAAGCAAAGTTAAAGTTCTAATACAATTCCAAAAAAAATATCGGAGCCTTAAGTCACTTAAAAAGTGAGAAATAAGTTATTACTTCTTCCTGAAAATTTTGAAAAAGTGGATAATGTGAGTTTTGCATGTATACCCCTCAATTATGGATTCTACTATAAACGTTATGTTCTCACATTTTTTATCCATTAAGTTTAGTATAATTCCCATGAATATTAAGAAGAGCTAATGAACGATTTAAATTTTAAAATTATTGATTTATTTCCCCAACCCATTTCAAAACAGCTTTCAGTGTGGTAAAAACCAAGTACCAGACCCTTGCGCAAGGCTTAGACCGACAACAGAACGCCCTGCGTCGAATAAAAAGAATAATTTTGGATCATACCAACTATAGTCAAAGCGATCACGTCAAAAAGTCAACGTAAACACTCCTTCAGTGGATCACGACACATTTCAAAAATTCTTAGCGAGTGGGAGAGTGACGTTTTGAATTTTCCGCGCCAAACTGTCTATTTTAGACGTGTGAGCTCATGTAGTATCGGGTGGGCAGTACCGAAACATTGGCTATTTCGGTTGTTGCGTTGAATGATATCCGCTATTTGATAATGGAATTCTAATTATTGGAAAGAGGAGTAGGACAAAGGTTACACATCCCCGATAGCTGCCAAATGACGAAAACTCTGGATCAAGGTTAGCGTAAGCGGTTTCGAATGGTTTTATTGTGATAGCAGTGACGAAAAATTTTGTTTTTGATAGATAATTTTAAATTTAGTGTCGTTTTCAAAACATTATGACGAGATGATTTGAAATTGCAGAATTAAGTTGTAAATTTCCCATTTTATAACCTCGTGGCTTTTTCTGTAGAATAATATCCTCGAGAATAGATACTATAAAAAAATTTAAAAATTAAACTCTTAAAAATCCAGCCAGGACAAATTGTTATAAAAATATGAATTTTTTAATAGAAAAATTAACACATGGAATATTTATACAGGTTCGGAAAGTCCCCATGGTACATCAGCCGTTACGTGAGAGCGATAATGTAAGTCATAGAAAGGATGGTTACATTGAAGACGTTTCATAATCTGAATATTCAGATTATGAAACGTCTTCACTATAGCCATCCTTGTCTATCGCACGGATTTCTTTACTTTACTTTGTCGCTCTCATGTAAAGGCAGATGGACCATGTGAATTTTCCAGCCCTGTATATATTTTTCAGATGTCCAATATGTTTTTAACGAACGACAGTACTTTTTATACAAAATTTGAGTATAAAAATATTTATTATTTAAGTTGTACTCTATTTGAACTATTTAAATAAAGTTGTAAAGACAAAAGTTTTATGATTCTTGTGATAACATAGATACAATATACAATCGAACGTATGTGTTTCTCAAACGAAACATCCTGCATATTTGTGGTTTTTTGTAATTCTTGCTTTGACAGTTTACACAATATTTTGATTCACATATATTTTAGAGCTTTAGAGCACAATAAATATACCTAATCAAGTATTTTATATTCTATTTTTAATATTTCATTGACATTGAAAGAAAGTTCCCTAATATGTTGGTCTTTACCTTTTTTTTCTAGGCAGAAAATTGTACGTACTTATACTGTATTTAAACTGTACTTTCTGTATTGTTGTAAGAAATATTTTTTTCGTATTTTAACCTGTAGTTCATGAAAGATAGTCAATGCTGATATAAAATCTGTTAAATGTGTCTTAAATGTGTTAAAATCAACACGGTGAAATTTTAGGTTATGTTCATTTCATGTTTCAGTATCTATACTTCAGTTCTACTCCATTTTCAATTCTCTATTTAACATTTGAAGTGCCTTTTTACTTATTCAATCTATTCAAAATTTAGTTCAGCAATAACGTTTTAACTGTTGTTATTTTATTTTTTTAATTGCTGCTATTGAAATATCGACGCTAGATGCAGCAATACAGTGCAAAACTCATTCTACTGACAGATTTCATACATAGTTTAAAACAATATAAAGTTTAAATCCGTTTTCAATTAAATATAGTCATTGATCATTGGTAGTTTTAAAAAGATTGGATAATTTTTCTGGATAAAAGAATGTGATAAAATAAAAAGTCTCTACTTAAATATATTTGTATAGTTATTTAGAAATATCCGTAAATATAATAATAGAAATTATGTAGTGTAAAATGATTTTCATAGATTAAACAAATATTTTTGGTAAAATTTTATTGGACTATAAACTCTGGCAAAATACTTATGAGTTCTGAATAGTAGGCCAAAGAAAAAACAAGCGTTAAAAATAAATCACATTTATTAAAGTGGCTAAGTTGCAATTAAGGTCTAAAATTATCACTTGAAGATTCTGGCTTTCAAATTTATTAGCACCTAAAAATAAATCAGTTAATTGCTGTCCTTTACTTCCACGGTCTATTGAAACTCTTTTAATAAGCCAAACATAAATTTCTTCATCCAAATACATATATTTTTAATACAGTTATTTTAATCTTATTCTCAAAAATCAATACAACAATAAGTCAAATAAATTATAGTAAGAAAATCTAAAATTGCTCGTTTTTGCCAAAAATTGATTTATTATACATTATTCTATAAAAGCAGTACCTACATACTGCAATAACAAAAAGTAAAATTGCAATAGAATACAAATTTGTACAAAGGACCCACCTCATTTTATAAATAATGCAGTTTCAATACTTAAAAAATTGCCAACATATATCATGTCGTAAATTTAGTAAAAATACTTTGCTTTCAAATTAAAATAGAAGAACTGGTACAATTAATGTTCTTGTGCAATATTCATCAACTTTGCTAATGCACTGTGTTGCAATGTTACCATACAAACCTTCGTGTTCTTTGCACTTGTGGTAATTACAGCTGATGATACTTTTATGATAATTGAGGATGCCTCATTTATTTTTGCCAATTTCACGGAATGTGACAAGAAATATAAACATGTAGTATATTATTTTTAATTGGAAAATATGGCATATTTTACATTCCTACAAGTGCCAAAAGACGAAAACTATTGTTGTCTAAATTCTTGTAAACCTACGTAGTGTCAAAATGTTAACAAGATGTTAACTGTATTAGAAAAATTGTTAAATGAGTCCAAAGATTTCAAATACCCTATATTTGTGTCCTGCAAGAAAAAACAAGATACTACTGCCACTCTAAGCATTTTGCAGCAGTTGATGTTATAGATTTCGAAATAAATATTTTCATAAAAAGAAGAAACAATAAAATCTCACAAATTTTGTAACTTTTGACATTTTTTGACATTTAATCACTATTATTAAAGAAGTAACAGTAATTATCAGTTTGTGTATCATTTTGTACGTGTATAAAAGAAACAAGCCACAATAATGTAATACCACCAACCAGACGCCCATACTGAAGGCAAGCAATAAAAAAAACTAATATTCATTCATTTATTTTCTAATGGACTATAACCTACACATATTTATTTTCGATATCAAACGCTGGTTCACCCATATACTACAATTCTAGAACTTGAAGACACAAAAATGAATGATGTCGGAAAATAAGTCTATATGCAAACCCGCCCCCGCATCATGCTCTCATAAAGACTAACAGCTGAACAGCGACGCCTCAGTCAGTAACATCGCGACGCCCAGTTCAAACGCTCTACCACAATGTCTGTAAGTTCATATTTGTTTAAAATAAATAACTTCAAATTTAGTTGTTCCTTTAGTTTAGTAAAAGTCATGTAACAACTGTTTTAAATGTTAGAAATGTTAGTTAATAATTTTTTTGGAATGTTTATATCAATTTTTGAATTAGTAACAAACTCCTTGTTTTTTTTTGTATTGTTTATGTTTACGTAGCATATAAATAGCGCAAAATTTTCGCACAAGATTTTCAGATTTGCCCCAAAAAGTTATATAATATTTACAAAACTGGTTCGAGAGAATTAAATTTTCACGTCGGTTTGCATCATTTTAAAAATAGAATGGTTTTCACACGAGATATTTTCAGCCGTGACACGCCGAATTATTTTCGTGTACCACAACATCTGCCCTGATAATTTTAACTTTCGATAAATTATATCCTTCCAACATCAACATCCAACTGACCGCTAATTCCTCGACTAGATCGAATTTCCAGAATATCGTGGGGATATTATCTCGCCTGAAATACTAAAATTTGAAACGCTTCCAGAGACGCAACAAGGACCTCGAAGCCGAAGTCTTAACCTGGATCTTCGGCTGCATTGGCGAGCCAGTTCCCGCTGGGGATTTCGAAGACATCCTCAGGAATGGAGTTGTCCTTTGCAACTTGATGAATAAGCTAGCCCCTGGATCCGTGAAGAAGATCCAGCCCAAAGGAACCAATTTCCAACTCATGGAAAACATCCAGAGGTTCCAAGCCGCCGCTAAGGCCTATGGTCTGCCCCAAGAGGAAATTTTCCAGACCGCCGATCTTTTCGAGAAGAGAAACATCGCCCAAGTACAATTTTTGATATATAGGAGAAATTATTTTATAAACTTTCAATCTTTTAGGTGGCCCTGTCTCTCTTCGCTCTTGGTCGCATAACCCAGAAGCACCCAGAATGGAACGGGCCTCAGCTAGGTCCGAAAATGGCTGAAAAGAACGAAAGAAACTTCACGGAAGAGCAGCTGAGAGCGCATGAAGGCGAATTGAACCTGCAGATGGGGTACAACAAGGGTGCCTCCCAGTCAGGTCATGGTGGCTTCGGCAACACCCGCCACATGTAAACCACCCTTTTTTTCTACACTTCGTGCATATTTATTTATTTTTATAACTTCAATGTATTTATTAGGATAATACTATAGTACCTACGTATGTTATAAAATGTAACTATCTTTGGATTTATTATATGATTTTTTACGAGTTGTGTTTTTATATCAAGTCGATTGATATTGGCAGAGTCCGTATTGACACGGCTTTGGTGTTTATTTTGAGAAGTAACAGCTGGCTACCGAAATAGACTGTAAACAACTAATGTTATATGTACGAAAGGCAAACATTCATTGAAAAAGAGAATAGACATTTCAGATTTGACTAAATTATTGGATATCCTTTAGTGTAACTAACTTTTGCGGGTAAAAAAAAATTAAACTTTACATATCGTTTGAGCTGGAGCTCTCTATTGCAATTTTATATTACGAATATTATAATAGGTACATTTCAGTTATATTTTTTAAACTTTTAGGTAATACAAATAGCAAAATGTGCTAAAACTACTTCATATAAGACCTGAAGACTTAATTGTCGTCTTATGACTAGATTAAAATTTAAAAAATTGATTCTAGCAGAGGAAAATTTGGTAGGAATATAAGCACTTTTTTGTCAGATCTTGCTTGTTCAAAAGAAATGATTATTTACACGTAATTAATATTTATATTGGAAAAATGCCAGATGAAACCAAAGGATCAGACCATTTCACATAACTCAACTTATATTGATATTAATAAAAGTAATTAACTTATTGAAATTTGTTAGTACAGTGTCAATATATCACTTAAAATTTCGTGTTCATAACAAAACATTTTGTAATACGTCACCAAAGAGAAAATATCATTAAATACTACTTGCACAAATATTTCGCCATTAACAACAACGTTTTAAAAATACATATTAGTTAATAATCACTCATGGTTATGTAACATTATTTTTTTTTTAAGCAAAAATTAGTAAGTAATTCATCAAAATGGTTGCTAGTCCAAACCCTCAATAATGAATACTATTCTGGTGACTCCATGGTGAGACATGTTATTGATCAGACGATTTCAAATACAAATGACGAAACCATCTATATATTTGGCAAGGCAAATAGATGAAGGTATCAAAGTAATATAATAGCTATTAATTTGTCAATCGTTCTGGCTTCATTTCGTAAACTGCAATAATTTTGTTATTTCTAGACTATTGCCTCAACCCAATTGTCTGTTTGTTGCATTGTTCAGATAATCTCATCCACTTTTTCTGTTAAAGATAAAACCAGTTATTAATCCTACAAGTTTGAAAATATTTAGAAAAACCTCAAAAACTTTTAACATCAGAAAAAAATAAGCGTAGGAGCTAGTGTTATGTTGTGTCGATAATCAAAATTTATTAGTATGGAACGTTGTTCTGGAGTGAATAAGAAGTTTTCTATGTTAAAAAAAATACTGAGACATATGACGTGACTTTTGTCTCAAAACGGTAACAGGGTTTCCTCCATAAGTGACATACCTAAATAAAAGTAACTCTAAAAATATCAAAGCTACTTGTTTTATTTTTCACGTTTCGTTGGAATTCCTCGAAATAAGTCAAAATAGGAGAACGATGACGTTTTTATTTCAGATTTTGGAAGAAATTAGGTCCTGTCATATCTTATTGTGCTGCAACTTGCTTAGGTGTAAATCTACAAAGCAAATATTGACTATACCGACAAATCTCAAGCTGGAATCTAATAATACTGTGTACCAATTCTATAATTGTATTTATAGTTGCTAAAAAGGTAGTTATATTGTGTAAACTATTATACTGCGTTTATCGACATGGTAATTAGATAAAATCGTAGGTGACTTTATTTTTTGGAAGGAACGATTGAAAATGTGTTCAAAAAAATTGTAAAAGAAATTGAAAACTCTTGTGACTGTCCACCCTGTATAAAAAAGGGAAAATGGAAAAATAGGCTAACGGGTGCCACCTTGTAAATCAAGAACGACGTAATATCCCTCCAATTTTTGCAGTTAGCTAATCATGCCAAGTTTGTTATGGTTTAGCGTCAAGAAATTTAGAGAAAGTTAACCAACCGTCCTTTTTAAGATGTTTTAGTTTATCTTAGAGTGGTTATTTATACGTAAACGTTACGTAACGAGGGAATTTATCCGCTTTGTGTTTTCAACGGGTCAAGTTCGGAAACTGTTGCGGAAATATTACTTTTGCTCAGGTACATGCTGGAAATGTTTTCCGTACGCTCTGAAAATTGCATAATTCACTTTCATAACACAATTTTATGTGTTTTTGTAATACGCATGTGAAATTATCGTTGATTATATGTATGTGGTATGTAATTAGTTTAGATGTTACATATTCGATGTGCAGTCTAATAAATTATTGGTAGTTACCTACTTACTGTGCATACGAGTACTTTATTGAATATCTGCGCCGATAGGTTTGAAAAATACTGTAGACACGTACGTTTTTTTTTAGTATTTTTAATTAACAATAATACAATCAGATCAATGATTTCGAAACAAAAGGTGTCGAAGGTAACATAAAATGTACCGGAGGTAATAAATACAAAGCAACTAGATTTTATTATTCCAGTGCATTTGTTTTCGTCATACAGAACGAGAACTCCAATAAGAACTAGTACGTATTAACTTTTGGTACAGCATATATTTAGTAACCCTTGTATACTAAGGCAGGAAATTTCATAAAATATGATAAATTACTGCAAAATGAAAATTCCTAATAGCACGTAGTAATTAATAAATTGATTATGTAACTTTCTTGAATACATGTAACTCTGTACCAGTTATTATACCATTAGATATATAGGACGCGTATAACATCAATAATTATTGATTATACATAGAGAACATAATTACTTTATTAAAGTTAACATAGATTTGTTTACAAATGTGCTCGAAGCAATTGACAATTTTTTTAGAACACTGTGTAGGAATTATTACTATTATAAAATTTCCTTAGAAATATGTGAACTATTTATATATTTCACTGGTTCAGACAGGCGGTATTTTTCTTGTATTATCTGTAAATTTGCCAAATTTCAATAGTAAAACAGTATTTCGAAATTTTGTCGGTTTTAATTATAGAATTTGAAATAGAAAATGATTACATTATTATCTACTCTATATAAAATAAATATGCAGTTCAAATTAAATTTATACCAAATAAAATTAGGTCCATAATAAGCTCCTAAGGTTCTAATGTCAAAAATTTGCACAACATTTTCAACCCTTTCATACAAAAATTCAACTTGTGTATTTTTCAAAAGCGGAGGATTCATTTTGTAATGGACCAAGACTGCATCTCCTATAATTTTTTACTTCTACACAAGCATGGTAACAGTTTGTACATTTTTCAAGGTTCCCAGAATTAACAATTTAATTTTAGAAGACAAATGTTTGTAATAAAATGAAATGATGAAAATTTGTTTTGAAGCAAATGTATTCTTTAACACAATGCATAAAAATGCATTTTAATTGAATAGGCCATGAAAAGAGTTTTAATTTGAGGCATCGGTCTATACTGCTATACAGGGCGTTTTTGAAAGTAAGATACAAGAACATTGCTACCAAGAAAGCTGTCAGCAATAGGAAAATGGTTAATTAATCAAAACTTGTATAATTTAATGATGATCGGAGAGAAATTCAAAACATATTTGTTAGTTTTTGAGATTTTTTAGAAAATGCAACGTTTTACTGGTTTATTTGAAAAGAAATGTTAGCCATTTTTGCTCCTGTATTTGAATATGGAATTATTGCGACGTTTCGTCTTTCTAGAACCACCATCAAATTGATTTTTTTAAATATTTGTATTTGTTATTAACCTCTGAGTCAATGGGGTACAATATGTTACTATTTAGCGACGGTTTGCACTGAAAAAATCATCACTAGAATTATTTTTCTTCAAAGACAAAAAATCCTGATAATTCTGCATTTTTCAAAAACTAGAAATAAAAAGTTCGATTTCTCTGTTATTATTGTGCTATATTTCTCCAATGTAACTGTCTCTCTACCTATGACAATTTTATATTTAGCCTTATTTTATCCAATTTTAAACACCCTGTAAAACAACAGAAACTATCGATATTAAATTAAAGCTCTTTATGATATAATAAATTTTTGTACCACAAGCGCTTAAAAAAACCCTCCCCGGGAAATAATTTTTCAACAACCACGATTGTTTCATGATCAATTTTGTTTTTGAAAACTAAACAGACAGTTCAGAAGGCCTTGAAAATATGTGGTTTTAAGTAGCGAACCCGAATATGTTTTTATTTTGATTGTTTTTCGAGAAAAATCTTCAGTTTTTCTAACAAAAGAAAAAATTAAGGCCCAACTCCCTTCTGAGTGCTTGATTAAAATGACTTGTTTCTTAAAGTTATTCCCTTCTTCCTATGTTTATTTTGTGTTTTTGCAGTCACAAAAAAGCCCGAAGAAAGAAATAACACAAATGTTAAATGTAAACATAATAAAACATTTTATAAAAATTATTTTTAACAAAAGAAATGGTATCTTTAAAACAAAATACAAAAAATACATTCAATTGAAAGCAGATTTAATCAAGCACTCCGTTAAACCAAGGAAACCAAGACGCCTGTTTCTGGGTTACGATAATAGTAGTTTCTCGGCAAATCCCTTTTCAGTAATTGAAAATTTGAGAAATAAAATTAGTTCTAGAACTAATTTTTATTATTTACAGTGAAAACTTGGTATATTTTATTGCGAACATTGCAGAATCGTGTGCATAGGTTCATTTCGAAAAATTTTAAAAAAAAATTTGTCGATGACAGCACCATCTATCATGAATATAAAAAAAAATGTTTTAGACAAATTCTACGTGGGTACTTTTAGCAGCTGAATCTAAATCTACAATAAAAATAGAGGTTCCTATTTAAGACAGTACAGATAGTACAACAGTAACAACTACAATGCTGCAAAGCTTAGTATGATCTCGATTTATACTTTATACTTATTTATTAAAAAAGGCGATATTTCATAAAAATTACTTATCAATTTTGAAAATTCTGAAGCCTGACTAATTCTGTTCGCAATATTGACCTTTCTAGTTTACAATTTGGGTGGACACGTTTTGGCACGGGGGAAAGGATATCATTATAAGTTTTGGGAAAAACGCGTTCTTTTCAAAGCCCAGTCTTTCACGGTTACAAATGAATATGTCCGCTGTCCGCACGGGTCGATTTGGTTATGTAATAGATAGGCATAGAGCAGAAATGCAAGAGTGAAAGCGATTTGTGAATATGACTCGGATTTCGCTGCTAGTGGCTGATGAAGCCCAGTGAGTGCAACATGGCCGGGAAATTTGTAACCCTTCTCGTCGCCTGTGCCTGTCTGCACCACGTCCTGGGCTTGATAGACAAGCAACGTGAGTATTTTCAGAAAAATTCATCACTAAATCGTAGATATTACATGTTAAAAACTATCTACCCTCTACTTTTTTAATTATGCCTGGCATTTTAGTCTAATAAAATGGAAGAGATGGTTCCAGAAAACTTTTTTGAAAATTTTTTTCTGAAGCAGTAAAACATCGAAATATTTGCAAATAGTAGAAAACTTTAGTTAGAATATAAAGAAATTGTAAAATATTTTTCTCTTTTTAATGGTAAACAACCAAATCTTAAGTATAAATTCATTAAATAGTTACAACAAACATTATTAACATTCTGAAAAACTTTAGCAGTTCAGGATTAATTGTACATCTTTTTAGAAGCAGCAGAGATGTTAACTTAAAAAAATGTGTCGAATATGTTACCTAATGCTTGTTAAAAGTTACTAATAACATGAAAATTATTTATCTTAAACATACTATTTGTGCAAAATACACAATTGCTTATAATTTTCGTCTAAAGTTGACTTATTTGTATCCCACTTAACCATATTTTTACTTTTAGTTAGATAAATAATAATCATTAGTCTCATCATCTCAATTTTTTTTTCAAATTTCAGCACTGTATTTCAAGACTGAAAAGCTACTGGACATTTCTTCATAAAACTTTTTTCTATTTTTCTTTTTCTTTTTCTAAGTATTTCTGAAACACCCTGTATATCCATTTTCGAAGCTACGAACGCGTGTCGAAATATTTCTTCATCAATGAACCGTTCAAGATTTTTAAATCAACATACTAAAAAAAAGTTAGCTATTAGAGTATATTATAACATAGTGAAAGTTTTAGATAATAGTAAATTCTACTACTATAAATATCTGACCTTTTTATTCACTGTATCTGGAATTAAAATTGAATTCAATTTTCCGTTCGTTGGACTCGTAAAATATTGTCATCATTATTCGTTTAGAATAAATGCAGTTATTGTAAATAGGGCAACACAGCAGAATAGCAAATTTCAAGTTTAAGGTTCTACTATACAGGGTGTTGCAATATTCCGTGTAGGTACGTGGTGCTACCTTAGCTTCCTATGATCAAAATAAGCAGCTTCTATATTTTTTTATTTTAAAGATGAAGGATATGTGAAAAATGTTTCCCTTTCTAAAATGGTTGTATTTATAACAGTTTTGGATTAATTATTTATTTTATAATGCATTTTCTTTCAAACTTGAAATAATTACATCATTTCAAAGATAATTTATTTGATAACAGAAATAAAATAATTTTTAATATGATGTTCACTGATAGACTGTTCAACATGACTACATTTTTTGTAAAACGAAAATTCATTCTACCCAAGAAACTAAAATGTACTTTTAACAATATTCCTTGATTTTATAAATTGTGAACAGTATCGCTCTCTATCGCAGTTTCTTTTTGTTTTAAGGTCCCCAAATAAAGGTTTTTAATTTTCACAAAAACAAAAGACTCTACATTTAAGCCGTCTTACTTGTTTGAATGAACTTTCTATTTTCAGAAAACATATTGAAAAATATGATTTGTCTATTCTGAAAGGGAACATTATTTTACTTAAGAACATTTATTTCCATTTCTTGCAACTCTGCTCCCAATTAAACTAGCACGAATTGCACCTTCCAAAATAAAACAAAAGTAATATAAAAACAGTACGTACTGATAGGTCCATGCATCAAAATGTTTTGACAACAATATTTTGAGAAAGTGGGCTGAGCAAACAACAAGTACGCGACAGATTCTTATAATTGTACATTTTATATGCATCTTGTTAAGCTACTACCAATTATAGATTCAGACTTTACCACGCTTATTAACCATGTCAATGTCAGACTTAGAAATCATATACAAGCTGGTTCTATTGACAGAATACAACTGGTGTGGTATCAATATCAGGTTAAAAAGAAAGATTCCATCCTAATTTTATTGTTTTATATAAAAAGCAACACGCTTATCAGTTTTATGCGTCAAAATATAGATGTATAAAAACTGTTCATAAAAATGCTGGTTTATGAACAATAGTTTATAAGCAAAAAATTTTCCATGTTAGACAAAGTGCATATTATTGTATCACATACACTTTATATCCATAAATAAAATATTCTATACATAATTAAAGTATACATTTTTAAAACAAAAAACATGTTTGTAAGTTTCTTTAAAGTAAAGATAAAATTAAAAGAAATACTTTGTTTACATGTGTAAACATTTTTTCTAGATTTAAGTAGTTTGTTCATTTCATTGATGTGACGTTGAAATATAGCATCATTAATGACTGTTTCAGTTAAAATTTATACCACCAAAAACTATTAAAATGGATTTATTTTAGATATTATCTTATCGATACCATTGGTTGTACTTATAAGCCAATATCGGGTCTTGTTGACTAGTGTTAGTTTCCAATACTTTAAAAAATGCATGTCTTCATTTTTGAATAATGATCTACAATAAATATTAATATGTTTAAAATATGCATCGACATAAACTCATTTAATATGAAAATCGTAATTTTTACTTACAATTAGATAATTCTGTATATTACATTTGTTACCTGTCAATCAAAATTTGGAAATGAAAATTTTGTGTTTTTCAAAAGCTTATTTGGTATGTTCATAATCTAAATTTTATTTTGAGTTAAATATTTCGAAACACATTTTTAAACTGAGACTATTGATTATAGGATTTTAAAAGGAACTATGATGTTCAAGATATTCTATTACATGAACCGTTCAAATGGTCATTTTAGATGGAAAAACCGGGGAGTCCTATTAAATTAGAGGGTGGAAATTGGAGATAGGGGTGAAAATGTACCCCTTTCAGTTTTTTAATTGTAGCTCGATAACGAAGCAAAATTTGGCTATAGTTCATAGGAAAAATTATTTAGAGAATTGAATTTTCCATCGAAATGGCTTATTTAAAAAATTTAAAAGAAATATTTTATATAATAATCGTTAATAAACAATTTAAAAAAAGCAAAAAATTAGATTTTTTGATTTTATTTACTTTTTTGACTCTAAGTTGTGAAAATCTTTATTTATTATTAACAAATAAAACTTTTGAAATAATTTTTTATTAAGTAAAGAACCAATTTGTTGTGAAAATAATGAGAATTATAAATACTATTATGTTAAAAACGACGAAAAATCTAAAAAACATTCAAGTTTGACCCGTTATAACCCAGTCAATATTAGTCCAAAAACTTTTTAAAACGCATCATTTTGAAGGGAATATCATCTAGTTTTTTTTGTACAGCAATTTTCTTTACCTACTTCAAAAAAAAAAATTACAGCCAGAAAAAGTAAAAAAAAAATCAAAAAATCTTATTTTTTGCTTTTTAAAAATTGTTTATTAACGAGTTTTTGCATAAAATTTTTCTTTTAAATTTTTTAAATACGCCATTCCGATGGGAGGAAAATCAATTCTCTACAAAATTTTTCCTATGAACTAATACCGAAATTTTGCTTCGTTTTTGTGCTATATTTAAAAATCGACAAAAGTGCATTTTCATCCCTATCTTCAATTTCAACCCTCTAATTTAATAGCACCCCGCGGTTTTTTCATTTTTAATGACCCTTCGAACAAGTCATGTGGTGAAACTCCTTATTTCCTTCCTTTTTTGCAAAAAATGAGAATTAAAACGTAAAGGGTAGACGCGACGAAAATCGAAAAATTTTCTAATAAGTTTGAGAGGTCATATATCAGTCAATTTCATCCAAAAATACTTTACAACCTCTTATTTTGAAGGAAATTTATCTACTTTTTTTCTACGAAGCAATGCCTATACCTATCTTTACTCAAAATAAAACTAGAGGCAAAAAAGTAAAAAAAAATAAAAAAATCGTATTTTTTGCTTTTTTTTAAATTGTTTATTAACGATTTTTTGCATAAAATTTTCCTCTAAAATTTTTTAAATAAGCCGCTTCGATGGGAAATTCAATTCTCTACAAAATTTTTCCTATAAACTATTGTGAAATTTTGCTTCGTTTTCGAGCTACAATTAAAAAACTGAAAGGGGTGCATTTTCACCCCTATCTCCAATTCCCATCCTCTAATTTAATAACACTCCCCGGTTTTTTCATCTAAAATGACCCTATGAACGACTCATGCAATATGTTCCTTTTAACCCTGTTTTTTTGGATATAATCAATAGCCTATTAGTAATAAATAATAATCAACACAAATTTTGTAGACTAGTGTGTACTAACCAGGTTGAGGGATACTGAGCTGCTTCAAAATTTTTTTCGTCGGCTTAGGGTATAAATCTGGAATATATTATCAAAAATTGGGAACTTTATAAATGGAAAAGTTTGCTTCGTGATTTTTTCAATGTTTAATCTCGACATTTTGGATCATATTCTTTATATTCTTTATACTTATGGTTCGTCCTGGTTATCTTTTGTCCTTCTTTATACTGTTCGATAACCTCATATTTTCTTTAGTTACTTAAAAATAATAATAATTTTTGTTTAACTATACTCACTTATTTTATCCTAAAAATTTGGATCATCCTATATCTAGGTAGGTATATGTATTTATAGTGTATTCTGTAATTCTAAATTACTTTAAAAATTTCTTAACTTTTACTTAAATGAGTTGAATGAATTGAATTATTATTGTTTTTTAAAAAAAATTCTGACCAAATAATCCTCGGAAATTTATACAATACTTTTGAAAGTCACTATTTTCACGTAGTTTAAACTTTGTACTAAAAAGTAAATACCAAGTATTCCCTTAATTTATAAAGTGAATAAAGTAAAGTTATAAAGTCTGTTGAACATCTATTTTAAGTTCCTTATTTACATATTCTTGTTAGTTCTGCATGTTGAGTATTTCCAGATACTTTCTATACCTCCCCTACACATACATACGTATCTAAACCTAAATGTATCAGTTTCGATATTACCACAGAATATGTTTACCTACTTTATTTCAAAGCTAATTCAAATAAATTAAAATTATATTTTAAAAATCTTGTGAAACATGCAACATACAAAAACACATACCTGTAGATAAAGAAACCTGGTACCAAAAAACATCGTGTGACTTCATTTGATAGGATTTTTAGAAACATTGTTGAATTTGTTTGAATTAGTTTAATACTTTGAAAATAAAGTAATAATACAAGAGCTAATAACGAAATATATATCATAGAATATTAATGTAACACCAAAACCAAATTTATTTATTACAAGGGCGCACAATTTTTTTTAATTCCATATATCCGCCACTGATTATACAGGGTGTCTCACCGGGAACTGCGTCGATCGATATTTAAGAAATGACCTCTCCGAAAAATTTAAAAATTTGGCAACATGGCAATGTGACTGGGGCAACACAATTAAAATATTTAGAACTCTCCAGCACTTCCGGTTATACCGGAAGTCGACACCAACTTCATTATTTTAAATGGGACCCTATATATTAGTACATTTTCGTATTTTAAGTGAAATTTGAGGGTCACTTTATTAAATATTCCCTATACCTAAGAGTTATATATTTTGAGATATTAATTTTTAAAGAAAAAAATTGACAGATGCAAGGGTTCGCGGAGATGCTAGTAACTCTTTTCAGAAGCGTGATGTCAAGTGGATTTTTGATACTGGTAAAGGGACATTATTGTATACCAACAAATTAAAACATTAAATACCAGGTGTTTTATTTTTGCTATTACATTTTGATAACTTCAAACAGCTATAACTTTGTTAACTTAAATGGAACACCTTATATTTTTTTACTCTGTCGTATGCAGATTGAAATTTCTTTTCTAACCTTATAAGCATTGTTAAGGTTGCCCTTACTACTTTAAGATATATTTGCATTTTCTATTTTTTGGATAGTTTTTCTCGTATCAGACCTGTTGTCAAATTGGCCAGACAGAAACATTCCAAAAATACTTGAAATAACATGACATTTGTCAAATTAGTTGTCAAATTATTGTTGTGTTTTCTTTAAATATTAATATCTCAAATTCTAGGTATAAAGAATATTTAATAAAGTGACCCTCAAATATCACGAAGAATTAGAAAATGCAAAAATATATAGGGTGTCCCATTTAAAATAACGAAGTTGGTGTCGACTTCCGGTATTACCGGAAGTGCTGGATAGTTCTAGATATTTTAGTTATGTTCGCCCCAGGAACGTTACTATGTTTCCTTTCCTAGATATAGATCGACGCAGTTATCGGTGAGACACCCTGTATAGAGTCCCCTATACCCTATACAACCAATGGCATCGATACTATCGACATCAAGGCAACCTATATATAAGTAAGATATGTGCCAAATTTAATTTATAATAATCTCTATTAGTGTAGGCTCCTAGAAATAAGTGCCAAGTACATATTATTTTTTAATCGTCAAAAGCAATAGCTTTTATTTAACATAAATTTGTTCGAAAACACATTTTGTCTAGTATTTTGTAATCTTAACGAGTTACCTATGGATTAAAAAAATATCTAAGTAACATATGCGAATATTTTATGGAATGATTTTTGGTATCCTAGATAGAAAATTCTAGTACTAATTGTTTTTTGCTGACAGGCAACAAAAAATTAAAATTAACAAAAATTATATCTCCTTCAAAACTAAGAAGTCTTCGGAAAAATTATTAAAGTTGTTGCTTTGGATGAGTTAAATATGTGATTAAGATTTTGGCACTTACTTCTGGAACACCCTGTGTATAAAATTATAAACTTTTTATACCGTGGGTGTCTCTAAGCGGAAGCATTTTTTTAAATGGGGATATGAAAAACCCGAATTTAAATCTGATTCACCGTATATGGTATAAATATAACAATTCAAAAATAATACTCCCATTTAATTTTCAGCTGAATATGTAAAGACCTGCATGATTAAAGAACCAAAGGAGATATTTGTAAATTGTTCCACACATGCAGTACAAATTTTATTCAACGAAATTCCGAAAGGGGTCGCTGAAATTGGTCTGGAGAAATTGGATCCCTTGTATGTTCCAATGATCAGTGTAAGTTTTTCAATGGATTACAAATTTCAATTCAGAACTTTTCATCTAACAATTTTAACATCAACTCAATCCGTTCTTCTAAAAACCAATACTGATTTAAATTTTCTAAAAGAACAAGCAGACTTTTAGTTACATTACCGTAATGTAACCAATATTAACTTCTGCGTTAAAAGAAATCAGTGCAATTATATAAAACTAAAAAATGAATCATTCACGCTTAATTTAACACATTTTTTTTGGTTAATGTCACAATTTCATGGGAACTGGGATAATAATCGAACATTTCCTACTTCAATTTCTAATTCATCATTTTAAGAATTGGACAATAGTCCAATTGCTTTCACTAATGCAATAGCATTAGTGAAAGCAATTATTAATAGTTTAATAAAGTATTGTGCTTCATCTATATTTATATTTAAATTGAATTTGGATAAACCTATTTGTAGTTTGCAATATCCTTCACATTCACAATACAGAACAATGTTTGTTCACAATAGGTGTAATAATTCTTACTGATTATACACTGGTTACTTATTACATAAAATAGACAACTGAAAGTAAGACGAATTGAATTAGCTCATACAGTTGCAAATTTTCTCATAGTAATCATTATTCTGTCAATGACAAAAAAACAATGAAAGCAAATATTTAGCCAAGTGCCTAAGTATCTTCATATGCTATAGGTAGCATTAAATATTATAATATTTACATATAATTTTGCATAACTCTTTTTCAAAATGCAGTCCACATTGTAAAAGATGTGGTTAACAACTTTTTTGCAATGCTGATTTGAAATTTCAGTTGAAAACGCAAATAAAAACAGCAACGAAAGTTACGTGTAGCTGTTGAATAAATACTAGAAAATGAAAAAATAAAAAAAATGTTTAATTTCCAAATCAGTATGGTTAGTTATACCTACTATAGTTATTTTGAAACTCCTTACATCTTTTGTAAATTGACTAAATTGAGAAATGAACAATTTTTTCTAAGTTTTGTATAAAAGTTCCCACGCATTGGATAATTATTTATCTGTTAAATTAAATCATAAGTTATATAATATCACACAATGTAGTCTTAAAAAACAAATATTACTGAACGTAAAAAACAGCTTTCTTGATAAAGTACACAAACTTTCATAAATAATTATAGGGTATGCTATAATAACATTGCACGAAAGTATGAAGTTTATGAGTTAAATACATATATGAAAATGTAATTAAATTGAAATTAAAATTATTTACATTTTCAAGCAGATACGTTGTAACGGATATTTTAAGAGCATCCACATCTAAAGAACCTTACATCAAACGATTTGCATAACGCTTAAAATAGACGTCCTGTATATTAAACGCTATTAATTTATAACATTCCTACAGAGCGATACAACATTTGCAAAGATTTAAAAATATAGTTTATATGTTTTAATATAGGTATACGTAGTTATGCTTCATATAATTAAGTGACCTACAATTCGCGCAAAATGTAGTAAAATCTATTATTATTTAGTTCACAGCCAAGTTAATAAATCTTAAATGCTTCATTAACTCAGTCCATGTTGCCACTGCATCATTAGCGTTGACTATAATTAAATTAATTGGAAGAGTGTAAAGTCATAGACAATAAAATGTTTTCTAAAATGAAACATTTTATTGTCCACTACCGTAGACTTCTTATAAGTGCAATATGTAATTAAATATATAATAAGGATAAGGGTTTTTTTAACGTCAAAATTAACCATCTGTCAATCCAATATTTTGAAGAAAATATTATACCAACGTAGTATTTCGTGGTTTTGACCTCCCTAAGTACATCTCTGGGTTATTTTATTCACTAAGTTTACTTTTTCAGTTACATATGTCTATAATTAAGAATATGTAAGCAAGTACGCCTACATTTTGGCAATCAACCAAAAGTTTCTACCCAATTTTATATTTTACATACTTTAACGTTAAACCGATAAACTAAGTTATCGCATTTTTATATTTTATTTAATAAATCAAAAATGTAACTGGCATTGCACGGATTTGATGTTGTCCAATGAAAGTGAAAAATAAATTGAATTTACTGAGATACTATTTCATAACAAATATCCTGACGATAATGAAGCATTTTAGCGTTAATAACAACAAGATATTTATATGTATGAACAACAACACAACAACAACAACAAGGTATTTATATGTATGAACAATGTAAAAAATAAGAAACGATAAAATGAAACTGTTTGAAATTCATTTTTAAATATTATCAAAACTAATTCATATGCAACCAGTAAATCAAGATCTTGTAATATAGGTTGTATTACTCAGAAAAAATATGTGTATGTAACTATTATTGTTTATGTAAAACACAACAAAATAATGCAAAATTTTCACATTTCTATAAAAACTATGTTTTAGTATTGTAAATGTAAATTATGTTTGCAAAAAATTATTTTTCACTGTTTTTACTTTGATTTGAACATTTTATGGTTTATACTTTCACTTGAAACAAATGAGGGGTTAGGGTTACTAATATTTGAATGTTTTTTAGATACTACAAGGAGGGGGTGGTCCAGTAACAGTAAACGCATCCTTATCTAACGTCACGGTACTCGGTTTTGGAAATACCAAGATAGTCCACAACAGTGTCGATCCAAAAACTTTCGATTTCTACACAAAACTGCACCTTCCAAGGCTAAGGATAGACGGCAATTATGACCTTTTTGGTCGAATTTTGGTTATTCCCCTCAAAGGAAGAGGCACCTGTTGGTTTGATGCCAGTAAGTAGGGTGTTCTGTTTTGTTTTGGATTTTTTTTGGGATACCACGCTAGATTATGACAAAATTGATTTTGATTTCATATACCGCTGTTTTTTTCAAATGTTTTCTATAGCTATTGGCTTAGGGTGTTTTAATAAACGTAAATATACTAAAAATACAGCTGCCAATGGAAAATAGAAGGATCACTTAATTCTTGAATTCAGTCCAAGCTTTTATAAACAGCTTTAAGGACAGATTTTTCATAACAGTGATGAAATTTTACTGAAAACAGATATACTGCAGATTGTGTGTTAAATTGACCAGTTGACTTCGTAACAATCTATTTTTGGAACAGTGGAATGCCCAATATTAAAAGCTCTCGCTTTACGCAGTGTGTGTGATCTATTTTAATTTTGTTTATACCATACTTTATCTCTCCAAGATTTTTGAGACTTGATTCCTTAAATGTGGTTACAAAGTTTTAGGTTTTAGGGCATTTGACAGTTTTTTTTACCTTTGTTTTCTTTGAAATGTACTTTTATTTTCTAATTCATTTTTAAAATGAAAACAAAACTAGATTTATAAAATCAACACCTTGATCGACCCTATCGGCACAAGGAATTAGGTACTTACGTCAAATTTCTTTTCTCATTATGGCAAGAATACCCAAAGGAATAAAAAAAATTAAAAACGTGAGACACAGATGTAGAATAAATAAATTTAAAAACAGGAGAGTCCTTAAATTTTCCTGTATTACTGAATAACACAGGCTGAAAAACATTATTTAAGTTGTTTTTTTATTCTGGCGAATGCGCTAATGTGACAATAATAAAAAATCATAAACACTTCACGATTTGACGCTGTTTTAAAAAATAAACTTGAGTCATTCTATGAGTCACTTGAGAAGTTTGTAAAGTGTTTCGCGACTCAACCATTAACTTTATTTTAAGTAACTCAGAATATTGACTTTGTCTGACGCAAGAAATTTGAATACGAACATTTCTTCAAGACAATAAGCAACAATTGTTTTTTGTCGCTTGAAGTTATGTTTAGTATTTCTTTTGATGAACTAATATCTCAATATTCATTTCCAACTTCTTTTTATGCACCGTAATCAATCAAGTGACTTTATTTACTTTTTTTCTAGAATAATCGTAATACTTATTTCAAATTTTTGCATTTGTCTATATAAAAATCATAAGTTTAACTCAAAGTACTATATAGTTTTCAGGAGTCAGTCACCAATTAAGTTTATGAATTTGATAACATAATTAGATATATTTCTCTAATCAGGTTCATGTCTTCAGATCTTGTAAATTTTGTTAACTGGGACTATACATTTTACTGTCAGTTGAATTTTATTTTGTTCTTTTGTTCTTCCAATCATTTTATCAATCAATGCCTTGGCCAACTGCGACAATTGTTTTAACAAAAAATTACAGGGTGGAGGATACATTTTGAGGAACGCGTTTTTCTTGAAAACGATTGAAGTTACATTACATTCTCATATTAAAAAAAATCGTTTAAATATTATTAATTCAAAAGCACCTATCTGACATAGATATTATTAAATAATGTATGCTTTCATAGAAATATCTTATATTCCTGTCACTCTAATATCATCCTTAAAGACCAACACGCAAAATCTCATATTTCTGTATCTTACTTATTGCTTATTTCGACTAACGCCCTTGTAAATGGAAAAGATATATATTTATAAAACAAAATCATATACAAATCACAAAAATTTTAGATTTTTAGAAGAAAAAACCTTCATTTGTATTTTGTAAACATTTTTTTTTAACTTATTTAAACTAGCCTTTAAAATAAACTAAAAAAGAACTTTTAGCTGTAAGACTTTTTTAAATTTTGTCGTTTCTTTTTACATTTTCAACTGTTTTCGAGATATTAACAGTTGAAAATCACTTTCTTAGAATTCTCTGCTTTGATATATGAAAAAAGGATAAAGTTACAAAAAAGTTTATTCGAACTTTTTTCAAATAAACTTGTCTATAGTAATTTTACAAAACAATTCAAATTTAAGTGACAATTTACAAACATTTTTACCGAATGGCACAAAATCTAGATAATATCAGTGGTGTTTGCAAATTTTCCCATAAATTTGATTCATTCTACAAATGATTTCAGACCTTTGAAGAAAAACCTTTGAACAAACACTTATTTAATCCCATCCATTTTTCGTATGTTATGTCCAAAAGTTTCAGAAAAGTAGTTTTCATCTGTTACTGTCTCGACATAGTGAAACATATAAAAAAGCTAGATAAGCGATCTTACAATAAAAAGTCCTTAGGATCAAAACAGGAATATGTTTCTGAAAAAAAAACGTTACAATTCGCTTCTCACTACAGTGATCCCGGAAACGGTAAGAGATACGAAGTAGCTTAAATCGAGGCAAAGTTGCATAATCAGGGGACCAACATTATGCCTTTCGAAAATCAAGGCTAACATGATTAGTTGAATATTTGAAAAAAAAACGAAACTTTGGAAATCCGTTTTTGTTTCATTAAAGCCTTGTTTGAGGTGATATTGAAAAAAAAGAACACTTCCGCATGGCAACTTTTTGCCGTCTATCGAATGGTACAATCAATTTTTATATGTCACGTTTCGTCTCTCCGGGACCATCATCAACTTCATTTTTTTTAATACGACCCTGGAAATTTTATTACAATTTTTGCAAGCATTCATGGCCCCCAATACTGTACTGTCTCAGCACGAACCAGTTTCAAACGTTTTGTCTCGAAAAATTCATCTTCAATGTATTCGTTACAAACTTGTATATATTTTTTTTATTTATGTGTTTATTGAATTATCGTACACTTTAAGTGTCGCTAGACCCTGTGAAATCCACCTAGTTATTTAAATTATTACCATTACACGTTACAATAAGACATTATTAGAGTTTACTAATCATGTTAGCCTTGATTATTTAGAGGCAAAATGTTGGTCCCCTGATTATGCAACTTTGCCCCCTTTTAAGCTACTTCGTATCTCTTACCGTTTCCGAAATCCCTGTAGTGAAAAGCGATTATTTTTATTTTACATTTTAGTGGTACCCACTGAAAATATAATCACGCTTTCAGGATTAACTTCTGTCGTTTTCAAGAAAATCGTATTTCACTCTATACTGCAGCGATTTTTTTCTATTATTTCTTTTTCAAGAAAAAATTCCAACAGATTATTAGTCAAGATGTCACATTTTTTTTGTAGTACTAGTAAACAGTTTTTCAAATAATTAATAACAGATTTTTAAGTAAGCACATATTTTTAAAGTGTTTTTGGCATAACCACAGTTTATCTAAAGTTACCAGGTGTTGTTTGAGCAATTCTTACACAATTTATTACAGGGTGACTTGAACAGTCTTTTATTAGATTTAACTGAATAAAGTTGCATAACATTGGAGAACATTAGCTAAACTATAGTTAGATATACCAAAATAATTCAGAAGTTATCCTCAATTTTTAAATATATTATTTATTATTACACATTGTGTATGCTCTGCTACTACAAAAATTGGTATATTTATTTTTCAGGCACCTTGAGCAAGAATCCTTTAATTTGTCCTTAATAGTATCTGCAAAAAAAGTGGCCATAGTTGGATGTTCTTCTGAACTATAAAATTATTAGAACGTGTTTCTGGCACAGTTTCATTAAAATCTTTTAATAAATAAAACAGTTAATGATTTCAATATTTTTGGTAACATCACATATAAAAACAAGATACTTTTATGAATTGCCGTCGTTTTCCTTGCCATTGAAGTTAACTCTCTATTTATAACTCACAGATCTGTAAATACCCCGAAATATTTTTAGTTTGCCATGTGTTTTCTTTAAAAATGTACCAGCCTAACTTATTGTTATTCTACGGTTTATTTTTAGCTTTAAAAAAATGGCGCATGTGAAAATCTGGACTTCCTCTGTAATGCTAAGCGCGTGACACTAACAGATTCATTAATTTTTTTGTAGAAGACTTGGAAATAATCGTCAAGAGCGACATTATCATGGAGAAACACGACGGTTTCCAGTTTTTCAACGTAACCAAGGTCCACGTAAAGTTCAGCATCGGAGGGTTAAAGCTCCACATGTACAACCTTTTCGACGGCATCAAGGCGTTAGGTAAACATTTACTTAAACCAATAAACAACGCTATAAACGATCTATTTTCGAATTTCAGAGGATTCGACGAACACGTATCTGAACGCGAATTGGCGACCCGTTGCCGAGAGCCTCAGTCCGATTTTATCCAAGACCATAGAAGACATCATGATAGACATCCTGAGGAAGGTGTTCGACAACATTCCCGCCAATTTTTTCCTCGGCGACTTGGACCCTTAACGTCCTAGAAGACTGTCACGTAAATTTAGCAAAATTCGACACGATTTCGTCAACCACAGCTGGCAAACAGTTTAAAGTTAGGACGCGCGGTGATTCACGGAGATGTGGGGACTTTTTCACTGTACACTTTCATATTTTCCTAGCCAAGCGCTTATTATTTACGAAAATTTATGTGTTTTTTTTATATAAATTTTAAATAAAAAACTGCCACAAAAGGTTTTTCTTTCGTTTCGCAAAGTAGGCCTTGGAAAACAAGAGCTTGCTAGAGACACTTTACAGCCTACTCACCTGCCAGAGGGGTCTAGATGGTCCAGGCATTGTGTGAGGATGTGCACTTGATCACTTGAAACTGTCAAAGATCAGGGGAGAGGTTCCCAGGTTAACTACGAATATTTTAGCTTGACTCGTTCTTATAGCGTTCCATTTGCAGTGGCGTCGCACGCTCGACGCCCACTTTCTCCTATCAAACATAAACTGGGATTCCTTAGTCATCCTTCGCGTCGCCTCCTTTGTTTTGATTCATTCCGCGTGTGCGACGGCTTTTGTTTATGGGATCTAGTAAGTAACCAAGTATTTTTCTTTAGAAGGGCAATTAATCCACGTGTTTTTCTTTTTGCAACTTTACACAAGTATTTACTTATAGCTGTTTTACATTGACAATTTATTGATGAATAAATTGACGAAGTTCTTCATGAATTAATTCACGAATTTATTGGTAAACAGTGTGGTTTTACACTGCTACAGACTTTGTCAAGTTACATTATAAATAAAAATTTAATTTGTATGTGTTTTTGTATTAATTATATTATTATTTTGAATATGTAGCACACAAAAAAAGTCCAAACCCAAGAGATTCACACATCATTTCTGAAAGATTTCGATGCGCCGCATGAACACAATCCTGTAGTAAAAATTCATGACTTACCAATTATTTACATATTCCAATAACATAACATCATTACTGATCTGAGGCTAGAAATCTGTTGGGTTGGTACTTCCGAACTTCACGAAGAAATTGACGAAAATTAGAACATGCTCTAATTCGTCAAGAACTTGATGAATAAATTGATGAAGTTATTTGACAGCCGATTTGGTGCATTACACTTGTCCAATTTCTTGATGAAGCGACTTCATCAATTAATTGTTAATGTAAAACAGCTTTTAGAAATTCAATATTAATATTTTCCATTTTCCATACTTAATTTTTCGTAACTCGACAAAAAATCTTTATGATGGTACTAACATATTTCAAAAATCTTTTCTGAAAAACACAAATACAAATTAAAAGGCAGCAAGGCAGCTGTAATAAATATGATTCATTATGTTGCAATCGTAAAATAGAAAATATAAATACTATAGTTTATAACAATATGCAATAAATTTAGTGTATTATTTTAAAATATGAAGTTATCGATGCGCATCGACATAAACACCATAAAATAAAATATGCATTGTTGTATATACTATAGTATTTTATTTTCTTGGCTCTGATAGCTCTTATTTCGGCATTAAATTATTTTGCAGATAAACTATACCAAGTGAAAGAAGAAAAAGGTTTGTAAGAAAACTGTTTTGTTTTGTTGTATTTAATTGAAGGGTTAAATCCAATTCAAATAAAAATATCTTTTAGAAATAATTGTTTTTACGTGTTCATCTTTGTCAGAAGTGATGAAAGAACAACAAAAGTACAAAATGCTTCTTTGAATGGTTACATTATAAATAAAAATTTTAATTCGTATGTGTTTTTGTATTAATTATATTATTATTTTGAATATGTAGCACACAAAAAAAAGTCCAAACCCAAGAGATTCACACATCATTTCTGAAAGATTTCGATGCGCCGCATGAACACAATCCTGTAGTAAAAATTCATGACTTACCAATGAATTTCGGTAAAAAGTGAAATTTTTGGGTAAAAACTAGCCCAAATATGGATCAAATATATCATTGTCATAGTATTTTGGGAGGCATTAGTAAAATTTACCAACGTCCTCGATAGTTCTCAGAAAATCCATATTTGGGCTAGTTTTCATCCAAATAGTGGATTTTCTGAGAAATATCGATGTTATGGGTAAATTTTACTAATGGCATCGTCTTCAACCCTTCGAAATACTATGAAAATGATGTATTTGGACAAAATTAACGAAAAAATCAATTTTGACCCATATTTGGGACAGTTTTCACACAAGTAGTGGATTTTTTGAGAAATATCGAGGTCATAAATTTTACTCATTCCATCGTGTTCAGCGCCTCAAAATACTACGAAAATTATATATTTGATTCATATTTGGCTCAGTTTTCACCCAAAAATTTCGCTTTTCTCCGAAATCCATCGGGAAGTCATGAATTTTGACTACAGGATTGTGTTCAACGCATCGAATTCCTTCGGAAATGATATGTGGGTCTCTTGGGTGGGTTTTTTGTGCTTGTTATCTATTACTATCTGTTTACTAGATATTGCAAGTGTTATTCAATGCTAGTTGAGGCATGTAATCCATAAAGTTGTAACAAAGTAAAGAATACGATAACTAATAACATAATGCATGTAAGGTATTTAAAAAAAATAGATGCTCTTATCCAGAAAATAATGATTTTAGTATTAATACTCTTGCTAGCTTTTTTTACATGTATACTGCTATACTTAATGATTAACTAATTTGTTATATTTTTAAATATTCATTACATTTATCTGCCTTTTGGCAATGTCTGGAAATTTAACGAGTTGTGTTGATGGAAATGTCAGATTTTAACGCTGTTATAAATTTTGCGTGGTGATATATTAAGAGAAGAAAAGAATACAAATTTTTCATCGAGAATTAAAGGATTTGATGACACGTTTATTTTTAGAGATTTTAGGCCTATATTCTGAAAACAGACACTGTATCTACATCTCATAATTTGTTTTTCACTAATATGATTTATTTATTCGTCCGTTTATTTATTTGTTTAGTCCTGCTGAACGGGATAACTATAAATATAAAAAAGTAGCAAAATAGTACCTATAGAAATAAAAAAAGTTGTATATAGGTACATATACTAAAAAAAAATTGAAAAAAACTTTTTTTTTTATTTCTTTTTACAATAGTTTAAATTTTTTGATGAAGAAAATATGGATTATTACTAAAATAACATTTTCAAAAAATGAATAAAAAGTGAAAAATTGCTTGTTATATTGATTTTTAGCAAAAACGACAGATTTAAACATTCCGGGCACTACTAAAAAAACACAGCGCTTTGGAACTATCAGGGTTCCTTTAGGACACTTTGAGGTTAAAAAGTTAGTCAATATCCTTAGTTTATGCATTATTTGCAAAGTTATGCCAAGTTATTCAAATATCCTTAATTATGCAATTTTTTGCCTTTTTCCAGTCAACATTTGCACCTCTTGTAGTGAATACTTTGTAGTTTTCAAAACTTGGTAGGTATTTTCTGTAGGTACGTTCATTATTTCCCGAGTAATTAATTGATTGCCAAAGTCAAAAATTACATTTGCTTTCATCGACGATAACTCAAATTGAAGAGAATTAAATTATCTAAAATAACTTTACAGTGAAATTACCAAAAAATTTCCATAAACCTTTTCAAAGACAAGCAAAAATTTGGACAAATTTTTTTCGTTGGTTTTCTTATGGTTACTCAAAAACTTTAAACTCCAGATTCGAAAACTAGAAACTTTCCTTTTTTTATTCTCTTTCCTTTTTTTTGTTCTCTTTACGACCATTTTCCTCTGAGTTACAGCTCTTTGAAAATTTGGGATTTTTTTTAATATCCCTCAATTTTTGCGACTAGTGTATATTACACCTTTTCTTAAGTGAAAATTTATTCAGCCCACATCAGAGCAACAAACATTTACTTCTTTCAGTCTTAGATCTTTCATTTTCATTTTGCTTCTACCAGGGGCGTATCCAGAGATGTACCATGGGGGGTTACTTGATGTCTAAAAAAAAGAAAATAAAAAGAGAAAATTTTTTAATCTTTATTCATTTATATTACTAAAAAAGAGGTTATGCAGTTAAGGAAACTAAGAAGTTTTTAAACAGAAAAATGTTAATCTTATTAATTTAATCTTGGATTTGGTCAGTTCATAGAGGAAATTTTCGAAACATCTGGGAGGCGATCGTTCCCATAGCTCCACCATTTGATCCGAGCATCTTCTACCTCTAAAAAATCCATATAAATACATGTTGTTCCATTCATTTTTCTTCTTTACTTTCGTGTTAAATCGACTAGTTTTATTAACATTTTTTCAGTGGGTTTGTTCGAAGTAGTACTCCTTTCACTGAAAACCGAAATACGCGACCTTCACTGAAGCCGCTGAAACTAATTAAAACCCAGTCATACTAAAAATATGAAGTGTTTACGTTGCATCCAGTCACAGGTGTAAAAATAAACAAGAGACGAGCTGGTACATATTCAACCCCTCTTCATTGTTTACCTATTTTTATTCCATTCCAAAATGCAGACATCAGCCGTATTCCTCGACAGGATATGTTTATGCCATTCTATTTTAGCTTTATGTATAATTTTGAACGTATGTTCCAGATATCTTTGCGCGGGCATAATGGTATATATCTACGTCATATTCTTTACGGTTGATTTACATTTCAGGACAGTGGCGGAGTACTGAGATCAGCTGAAAAATTGCTGAAATCCTCCGTTAATAAATTTGGAAACACTTCCATTGACGTTTATTTGGTACTGGTAACTTGTATTGTGAGTTTTACTCATTCGATTAGGTACTACCAAGAGCTGGCAACACGCTCCTAACGTTAAAAATGTTTGAATCTACGATGAAGATGTTAGTAATAAAGCAATTAATTCTATTTCGGTCAAATCTTTCATTTGTACCAAAAGTTCCTTGTAAACAAAGTTAAGTGACGAATCGTTTGGTGATTTTGGCAAGTATTCATTTGTATTCTATGACGTCAGACGTGAGCATTATTATATCCTCTATAAGAATTGTAATTAAGAAAACCTTGTTAACATGGACTCTTGTTTTATTTACACCAGAAGTGTAATCGTTTCAGTTTATTTTTTTGCATTCTTACGCATTTATTAAAACAACCATCTAAGAAAAACATCTCTTTTAAGAAATATAATTAAAAATAAGTTAATTCTCGTTATTTGAAAACCATTTTTTAAACAAATTAAGATGTTCTGGCCAGTACTACCACTAATCATTAAAATTTATTGATGGTTTAAGTGAAATCCTTAGAGATTACTGTTTATTATTTAAAAAATTCTAATAGCTCTAATACAAAGTCATATGTTTTAATATATTTAAAAAATTAAGATCTTAGCTTCTACTATCTGCCATCAGAACTGTGCAACGTAAGGATTGACACTGAATCTATATTTATGAACACGTCTACATCTAAGCTTGCGTAGAGAATG